TATTCACTGCAAAATGGTCCTTTATTTATATCCCCCTTTTTTGTTTACTTTTTTTTGGTGATTTGCATTTTTTATTGAGAAACAAATATCAATGAGACACTTTCCAAGCAGATTAATAGGACATTTTCAATAATAAATACATTGCACATTCTTATCTTCTACTTCCCTATAGTCTCACTCCAAGGCTTCTACCCAGGACTACAGATCCTGGTTCTTTTTTGCTAACTTTCTTTTTTACTTAAGAAATTAATGTGAAATGCTAGGGCGTGTTATCATACTTCTTTATTTGAGGGTGAAGGAGCCTTGGGTTTCACTTCCTGTATCTTACTGCACCAGCACTCTGAGGGACCATTAAGGGTAAAATGCACTCTTTAAAGCTGCTTCTGGAAAAAGGGTATTTGTACCTCCAAGGAAAGAGCAGCAGCGGCAGGACCAATGGATCAATCCTTCCAGTGCTGCGGTGACTCAGACTAAAAAGTAATTATGCAGCTCTTTTAATTTTTTTTAAAAGTTACATTCAGTATTCATATTTCTAACAGGTATAAAGCAGTATTTCTAATTAAATTTATTAGCAGCTTTGAACAGCTGTTTAAATCATTAGGATTTCTGAAGGGCTACTTTTTAACTTTCCTAACTGGAGTTGTAAAAGTCTTATCTCTTCCAAAAAAGAACATAAATTATTTCTAAAACTCTGCATGAGAATAATGAAGATTTCATAGACTTTAAATATGTGAAATTAGAATTTTTAATAATCCAGAAACTAGTTGTACTCTCAATTCATTGGCAGAAATAGTAATTAGCATTTTCAAACGATAGAGTTTACTAAATTTAAATTTTATGTGGCAAGGAATATTTTGTGACTTTTTTTTACATAATAATGATTATTAACAGTTTGGAAATTCATTGTCACTTAATAGATGTGCATATCTCTAGGAAAATCTTTTTAAGTTATTTAGGCTAAAACTTCCAGCTTTAACTTTATTTAATGACTGTATATAACATTAAATTTTTTCAGAATTCTTCCATACTGGTAAGGGACCATCTTTACTAAATTATGTACTATAGCCCTATGAAGCTATCACCAAAATAACACAATGAAGTTATCAACTATGACATTCCTTAGAGTACTTACAAGTTATAACTCTTTATAAGAAGACCCAGAGATTGACCCATTCAATAGATTTAACTGGGACCTAGCTCAATAGTTAGGCTCTTAAAACTGGCCTCAGTTAGAGCAAAATCACAGTGTACAGTTTTTTCGATGTGCCAGTATCTAACAGCTCATGACATGACTTGAGTCTGGCAATGAGAAGACAAGTGAAAATACAATTAATATTGATCCTAGGTTCAGCCTGGCATCCAAGCTGGAGTGAGATGCAATTGCGTTTTAATTCTTAGGTTGCAGTTTCTAATACTGCCTGATACAGCCAACAGTAGAACTCTAGAGGTGAGAAATGTGGGAGAACTCACATGGGCTTTGTCCTTCCCCAGGATTTGTCACTGCGAAGGGGATGAAGAGAGCCCCCTCATCACACCCTGTCGCTGCACGGGAACCCTGCGCTTTGTCCACCAGTCCTGTCTCCACCAATGGATCAAGAGCTCAGACACGCGCTGCTGTGAGCTCTGCAAGTATGACTTCATAATGGAGACCAAGCTTAAGCCCCTTCGGAAGGTATCGTATCTGCAAAGATTGGCTTGAGAGAGAACTTGCAGAGTAGAATGGTTCTAAAAATCTCCTTCCTCCCCCTTTTAGAGCACAAATTCAATGCATCATATTGATGAGAACATTGTTTATTAAGGTGCATCCCTAAGGAGGTTAGAAGATAGATTACATGGAATGATATGAACGCATCTGATTTCTTCTCCATGGTGTGAAATGTTTTGGATGTTTGCTTTTGCTTGGAGATTGGTTTGATGTTTTATATGTTAGAGTAGTAGAAAGAAAATATTAGTTTCCATATGTGAATCAAGCTGTGAGAGAGATATAATCTGTAATTATAATGAGAGTTTATGTTAAATTCTTCATTTGTTATTTTTCTTAAAGAAGGGAGGTAAAACTGTGAGCCAAGTATGGAGTTAACATCTTACTTGTGGCTCCCGGAGGACTGCTTGAAAGAACACAGTGGGGCGATGAACTTTATAGAATCCATGCTTGAGAGTTAGGCCCCTGGATATAAGTGTGTAACTTATTCATCTTTCTGCCTAACTACAGCTTTACATATATATGGATGCCTGGATCTCCAAAGGGGAGCGTGGAGACTGCAATTTAATGGATCAGCCAAGAGCTGCTTTTTCATTTAAATTAAATGCAGAGCTAAAGTGAACAGAAAGAACATTACTTGAAAATAAATGTGATGGGTTCCAGAATGAGTAGAGATGAAAAGCAAACAAGAATATTCCAGTAGGCATCTGACTGGTGACTAGACCTTGTAATTCTTCATTAATTTTGCAAACTATGGAGAGAGAATAACATTCCCTGGTTCTATGACAGCTTTGATTTAAAGTGAACTGCAAATGGTTAATAGATCTCAAAAATTATGCCCAAGGTGCCCTTGGAATGTGCATTCTGGGTTTTGTTTTTTTTTTTTTTACATAAGTGGTGACCTTAGTGCCAAAAGGTGACCTCTGTACCTCTAGGTCGTGGAGCATCCAATGCCAGAAATAGAAATGGTTGCTTTTTCCTTGCCCTTCGCTTTATTCACTAAGCAGATGCTGTGTACTGTTTGGAGCAGCTAAATGACACGAGGACTCCACGCTTCTCTACATGTCTCTTCTTATCCCTCAGGGTATCATAAGTTGTTTCTTTCTAATCATTTATTTCTTCATTTATCCTGAACATCTCTGTGTTCAAAATTCTCATCTCAACTTTGTCAAACATAATATTTCAATTTGATAGCAACAGTCTAGGATAATAACACATCCATAATTTCTCTTGCATTACCAACCCTCTCTGGTTTTGGTATAATGATCGAAACATGATGCTGAAAAAACATTTTTAAGTCTTCATTTTACTCTCAAATTTATGGAATCATTCTTTAAATACAACTTTGATCCTCTGCTTATATCAATACCAATAATAATTTACAGCCCTATCAGGAAATCTTTTTCCCCAACCAATCTGTTTATAAACCAAATTGAAAGGAAGCAAGTACAGTTATCTTTTAAAGTATTCAAGTTGTAGTAACAAACATGTTGCTGCAATCTAATGGATACCTACTATCTGTTGATTAATGAAATATTCTAGCTATTTTTTAAAAATATCCCTTAGGTGGATCATAAATATGGAACAACAATGCTGTTTTTCAACATTCTTGATTTTTAATACCATTGGTATATGTTTAGGGAGTGTTAGAATCCAACTTAGAGCTAGCTTCCTGGTAGCACGTGGATATGGTTTATTTGACCCCTGTGGTTATAACTTAAATATTAGTTACCAACATTTTTTACATTTACTTGTTTTGTTATTTTTTATTAATTTTATTGAGAAAAAAATTATAATGAGACAGTTTCAAAACAGGTTGGTAGGAGAGTTACATCAATTAATACATTGCATATTGTTCTCTTTGTAGTAGTCACTCATAGCACAAGATGCAGACATGATATCCTGTCCAAACACTATTAGTACACGTCTTCTTATTGAATTAAGAGAAAGTGGCTATATATCTATCCTAACTACTTTATATGTACAGATACAAAATTGTCATTCATTTATATCTCCTTTTTTGTTTAGTTTTGTCAGAAATGGGTATTCCATTGCCATCCAAATATTGTAGGTGCATGAATTCAGCAAAATATTCCAAATAGTCCAGTAGTCCGCAATAGTAGTGGGTTATCCACAGGACTGGCAATGTCTGAATCTGTTGACTTGAGCCTTCCACGGCTCTGCATATTAACACAGCTTCACTTTTCCTACCTCATTTCTACACTTTTCTGCTGAATGGTTAAGACCAAGATAAAGTAAGACCTATATAACAAGAAGTATAACTTTTGTATCTGACAAGATCAGTCAAATCCCCTCAGGATTTATCCTGAAACTCTGTACCACATTTTGAAGATCCTTTGTCAGTGTCAGCCATGTGGATGAGTCACGGCCATTGCTTGGCCAATGTGCTCTCTGTGACAGCCTGAGAGAATGTTTTCTCTCCATGTAACTCTCCTTAGGCACACTCTACATCATTGATCACATTCCTCTGTGGCCCAATAACCTCCTTGATCAGAAAATTTGGGATGCTACTGAGTTACAGGATGTTACAGTACAGGTTTTCCTATGTCCTGAGTCTTCACTGATCTTGAAAGGCTAGGGCCAAAATGTTGGCTGTCCTTGCAGCCCTTCTTTTTCTCTATATTTTGGTCTGCAAACTTAGGTTGTTAACCCTCCAGAAGAGAAGCTTATTATTACCCTACAACATATGCAGTTGGGTTTAACCTAACTATCCGTCTGAATATTAAGCAACTTAGGCATAAGATGGAACATGTATTTTCCATCAAGTATTGATATGTTAAGCTTTAAGTCTCTACAGAATACGGTGCATGATTATTTCAGGAAAACTTTGCACATGTAAATGTGTTTAGAAATCATAGTGCATGGTTTGACTGGGGTCACATTCCCAATTGACAATCACCCATGAGGCTCAACGGTGACTGGTCAATGAAAATACAATCAGCACTGCAGTTCTTCCTGTTTTTCATCCCCTACTTTCCTTCCGATCCTGAGAGCTCACGCTGTCTTCACTCAGCAATGGGCTGTTGGAGGAACCTGAATTTGAGTCCTACACATTATTCTCTTCCTCCTTCTGTTATTTATGGACTTTGAAAACTTAGAGACACTCTTTGAGGTTTTTGTTTCCTCTTTAGAAGCACAGGGAGCTGAAACAATACTTAAAGATGGTATCTGGAACACCTTTTCAGATTGTGAGGTGCTGCAAACCATATGGATCTGAGACCTTTGGAAAGTGTTCTAGATGGCTTGTTTTGATGGCACTGGGATTCATCAATAGTTTTCTTTTCGTAGGTTTTAAGTGGCTATAAAGAGTGTCAGGTGCAGCATTAGGTTAGAATATATTTGAAGTACATCCAATTAATTGCTCTCCACCCAGTAATTCCATTACAGTTTATAACATTCTAAAGACCAAGCCTATGAAACAATTAATTTAGCTAATGATTCTGAATTCTTACCATTATCCAATGGAGTCAGGAATTTCAGTTTAAACAAAATAACTTCAGAAGTGGAAAGGTGCAGATCTTCAGAGTCTGATGAGGCTTGGGGCTTTATAGTCTCTAAAACACCAATAAAGACTTCCTTTATGAATTGCTATTGCTACACCAAAATCTACAGTTAGCAAATTCATCAAGGTATCCTAACATTTTCAGAAGAAAAATCTTTTAGAGTCAAAATAAAATCAAGGGTTTATACAAGGAAAAGCAACTTTCACCATCTTTCAGTTAGTAGTTCAGCTATTTTTATAGCATTCAGTGAAAGACTCATTAATGTGCTGAGTCACCCAGGGTCAGAAGCAATTCTCAGAGCTAGAAAAGTCAAAAACTCACAGTGACTATGCAGTGAAATTTGGACCAGTACAGCAATATTGATTAGGAAGCATGAATTAACCTCTTAATCTGAAGCCAAAGAATTTCATGGGTTCCAACTGGAATTGCTCTGGAATGAGAGAAACCAGGCATCAATATGAAGCCAAGTTTATAAGGACGGCAAGTGCAACTGACAACCTGATATCATTTCCTAAGCTATCTCTCTATATAACTTTCTATATAGAAATTATTTGACAAATTTATAATGTAAAATATGCAACTCCATGCATCATTTTGTTCTTTGCCTCTGTTAATTGAGTCCTCACTACACCTCATTTTACGTAGGAATGTATCAAGCCCATATGATGAGAAAAATGAGACAGCATCATAGATTTTCTCAGGGTCACACATGCTGGAGAGACTTGACCCTGACCTTGGGCCTGTGGCATTGCACCTTGCTTCTGCTGACTGACAGGTTCTCCTAAGCACCAAAACATTGGCATTTACAAACCATTTCTAGTAGAAATTGTTCAAAACAAATCTTTCTAAAAACACTGTTCTGACTCTTCCTTCTTAAACATGGATATTTTACCTGATACCATTCCCTAACAGTTAAAATACTATACAGCATCATCTAATTTGCAAGATGAAAACATTAGCTGTAGTTGCTTAAAGCACATATAAAGGCTTTTGTCTTCAATCTGGCTTCCCCAGACTTCTGCATTTTGAAACCCTTTCTGTGTGTCTGCATTTTGTCATTTCTGCTTTTCCCAGTTGTCAGAGCACCAGCTGACACACTGCTCTTCCTCCAGCCACCTCATCCCCCATCCAATAGACCTTAACCCTCAACGATAAAGCCAGAGGTTATAGAATGGGGACTGAAGACGAGTAGAGGCAATTCTAGATGCTTCTACAGGACTTTATTTTGATCATGGGTGGGCCAGAATTTCAACGGTATCATTCTAATGTCCTTTTTCCTGCATTCTCCTTAATTTTCAATTTTGCTGAAGGAACTTGGGGCTATATGATAAAAAACCCTCAACAGGAAATTTTTAAATCCTCAGGCTATTCCTTGATCAGTGTAACTCAGCTCCAAATAATAGTTTTGTTCTTCCATTTCTTCATAAACATCTTATTTATACAAGC